AGCAGTACCATCAGCTGGATCATCCCCTTCCCCCCAAACTTCATGAACTCGTTGACTATCCCATCCGCTCCTGCTGCTTTGTGGCACTTCAGCTTGTTCACACACGCCTCAACCACGTCCTCAGTGAACTCCTTTCCTAGTTCCACGTTCCCAACGTCTGCCTTCGATGTCTCTTTTTCTTTCTGGGCCCATGCGTCCACCTCCTTCTTAGACACTTGGTCAAAAGCTTCATTCTCCGAGGGGGTTGGCATGAAAAAAAAAAAAAACGGTCCCCTCCCCGGGGGGAAAACTCCGATGTCTACGGAATGTCTTTGTTGTCGTTTTCCAACTGAGTACCGTTCCGATCTCTCTATCCAGTACCTTCATCTGTCCGTACCGTTCAAACACTTGACCGGTAGATTCCCGCGGTTACAGGCTAATTTTTCTAAATGAGATACTCTCAAATCGAAGATTAGGAGAATAACTGGCCTCTCCCATGACGCCCTCCCAAGTCATCGGGCTTGGAAACCCGTTTCCGTTTTCAGCCGCGCTGAGAATCACGTCTTGCAAAAATCAGCCGGTGAGCGCGGTCGAGGCTGCTTCAAAACAAACACGCACCACACTCCTGCACGGGCGCACTGAAATGCGGTCGATAGGCTTCAAAAAATGGAACGCTTGAGGGCGACGTAGTGGACCACCCTCCATACAAGGGACAATCCCACCAGCGTGCAGCACCACGCCGCGATGCTCACGTCGTTATAGTTTATTCCACCGTTGCTGAGCGAGTCTAGCACCTGCCCAGCGCGTGTCAGGTTGGTTGGCACGGAAGCGGCAAAACGGGGTAGTAGAGCAGGCACGAACACACGGGAAACAACCACACAAATAACGTTTTAAGGAAAGTCCCAGCATGTGGCCGAATGCTTGCGTAATTCAACAGATCAACTACAAGTTCGAGACGAGTATGCTCGGAGGGGTTGTGTTGAAGTCCTTATAGCGAGAGTTCCCGCAAACATGCAGGATACTAGACTTCGCGCCTGCATTTCGTCTTCACTGCTGTACCTTGACAAAAGCGATAGCTACAAGTCGTGCTTGCCTGCTCTCCGGTCCTGCCGAAGCAAGTGACACAAGAATCAAACCCTTCGTAGGTCTGGCCGTCGAAAACGATCTTCACCATCGCCTCCCACGAGTACCTGCGGCGTACCGCGTGCACCAACCGAAAAATCGCGGGTGTGTATTCCCTTAATGCACACGGCGGAGAGTTGGGGAGGTACATAGTGCCTAAACGTTTCACGATGTGCTTGGTACCATGTTCAGGACGAGGTCGAGAGAGCGCCACGAAAAGGCGGGCAGATATACCTCCCCCCAGGTCGAAAAGCCTTCAGATGATCCTACGCTTGCGGCTGCAGTTCGCACCTGAGAGGAGATATCCAGTACAACCACAGCCAAAAGACGGGCATGTTGTTGGGGTCGACGAAGAACCTGGTGGCCACAGATCGGGTTTGCGCGAAAGAGGGAAAGTGTTCGTCAACGCGAAGACGTTCGGGAGTATGTGTGGGTGCCAAGCGCAGAGCGATGGACAGGGAACAAAATCAGGGAGCAAGATTTGTAGCCGACTGGTCAAGGTCCAAACTGCTCCATAGAAACAGCAATGCTGAGCCCACAGTGATACCTGGTTTGCAGAGTACTGACAACTTTTGCCGAAAGGCTGGAGTCTTGTTGGTGAAGTTTGACATTGACGTGCACGGCTTCGCCAGAAAAAGTTTTCCGGAAATGCGCACCCGTCAACGCTTTTGTGTTCCCACCCACTCGACAACCGACCCCGGTGGGAATGGCTATGGGGTTCTACAATGGAGGCTCTCCTGTCCGGACCAGGTACGCGCAGTAGGGTGGGTATTCACATACGGAAGCCCCTTCAATGACAGCCTACAGTGGGTAAATGTCTGGAGTAGGCACGTACTTTTGGCCGGCGGAGGTGGTGGTGGTAGTACTGTAGCAAAGGAGAAGGAGGAGGTGCCACGGACACAGCAGGAGTAGCAACTGGTCCAGCGACATCTACACGTCTCAACGGACGATCAACGGGGTACGGCGAACGATCCTCGCACGATCTTCGACCGAGTTCTTCTAATAAACGTGAGGATGGCCGAAGGAAACGCGGTCACAGTCAGTCCAGAGTACTTCCCCCTCACCCGTTGAAGACGAAGAAAATCGAGAGCAGGCTGGCGAAGACGGCGATCCCGAGGATGAAGTTCTGGTGTCCCAATGGAGACAGACCATGAGGAACGCATTCGAATTCCGGGTTAGGCATGCAGTTGACTTCCGAACTCTCGACCATGTGGCGTACGCATAATATTGCGGTACCGACAGCCTGCTTTCCACATGTAGGAGATATGGAGGCTCCCCCCAACAGGTTCAGCAAACCAATGCTATCAGTATGAACCGGCCATACGTAAACGTTAGAGGGAGAGAAGGAGGAAAGTGCAAGCAAACGAAGAAAAGAACATGAAGGGATAATCGATGGACGAAAGCAATATAAGCGGCACCGACGCCGGCTTTCTACATGTAGGACATTTCGAGGCTCCACCCAACAGGCTAAGCAAGCCGATGGAAGTACGAACCGGCCATGTACATTACAATGCACGAAGTGGCCGCGCATGACCGAGTTGTTCTACAAACTATTACCAGAATATACGGACGAAATTGTGCGCTTGTTTCCCGGAGTCTGTACGAACCGACCCCGCATGCATTGCCGACGGCCGAACAACGAACGCAACCGATGGGTGAGTATTTCTCCGCAGTACGGCTGCCGAACCTCAATGTACGGTAGACTTGTCCAGAATCACACATCCCGCTGGTTCATTTGAGCCTTTTTGGTTCATATCATCTGCAAACAACTACGGGTTTCACCTTGACCAAGACTCCAACAACCTGGGCCAGGCTTTCAACGACGAACAGCAGGAGAAACATCAGCACGACGAACTGGAGATACCTGACCAATTGAAATTGACGGGTGGAAAGCTCAGGAACGCGAGCAAAGGCAGGGCGGCTCGAAACAAATGATTGTATCTTTCTGGTTTGGCGGGCGCACCCTGACAATCTCCGTCACGTGCACACTCCCAGTTGAGCTCAGAGCAAGGAAATTAGGACACTTGAAGGTGGAGGTAGGTTTGCCAGCCTCCGCATATGTCGACAGATGACGAGCATCATCACGACCTCGGAAACCAGCTGTTCGTTCTCCGCAAACGCCCCGGGCAACCGCACACTCTTTGTATCGGTTTGCACGGTCGCCCGTCTCCTGCACCTCTCGAGACATGAATAACTCTTGTCCACCACACCTCACGGGGTCGTCGTTCATGTCAGTGATCCAATACGCGGGCGTGCTACAGCACAATGCGATCAGGAGTACGAAGGGTGCCTGGACCACCGCGTTGGCGATGCAGAAGCTCGCCACCGCGTACTGCCCGTTCTGTTGGGGTAACGTGACAAGGGTACGATGTAGGGGAAGCGTTGGATCGAGAACGTATTTCGGAAAACAATCCGTATGTTTTTTGCAGATTCCGGGGGCTAGTCTATGAGATGAGATAAGTTCGCTTCAAACGATTATCTTGTATGGTTTCTTAGTTTCCTCCACCGGAGTTAAGTTACTGGGCCTATCCCCATTGCCCTTACGTATGGGAGTAAGTATGTGTCTCTGGCAGTTTGTCAACATATCCACGTATACCGCAAAACGTCCCAAAGAAAGCCAACTGAGTGTTCCCGCACGCGCACACACAGGACTCGGATCATCGCGTGGAACTTCCGGCGTACTCAACGTTGTCTCCCAGGACCACAAGATCACAACGCCCCGCCGCCCCAGTCCTAACAACAATCAGAGCAACTCTATCCATGCCTGCACTTCTTTCACGATAGCTTCTTGCTCAAGATGGAAGACGGGAATGGCCGCCATGTCCATGTCTGACAAACAAACGAGGATGGAATGGCAACATTTTTTTGGGGGGGGACGAATGCACGAACAACAACGTGGATTGTGGGCGCGGACACAAGAGAATGGGGTGCACACTGACGAAACTTCAAGCCATCAGCGTGCAGATGATTCCATACACATCCGCTTTGGTTATGAGCATAACCATCATCAGCAGCCTGAGGGCACACCGCGTGGTAACGCTGTGGTCAGCTGTCGGCGCCAAACAGCCGCTCGGTGTTCACAAGTCTTCTTTGAAGCCTCGACATTCATAAGTAGTCTATACGAGAAGTGGCGAGTGCCAAGACAAGCTCGTTTCGCAAGTGGAATAATCTACTTTCGTAACATCGCACAGAGCCGTCAACGACGACTGATGGGCAGAGCTACGACTAGTCGACAAATGCACGTCTACGAATGCTATCGGGGCCAGCGTCGCTTCCGGTATGGTTGGAGAGTGTACTGACACGCGTGGTAACGCTGTGGTCAGCTGTCGGCGCCAAACAGCCGCTCTGTGTTCACAAGTCTTCTTTGAAGCCTCGACATTCATAAGTAGTCTATACGAGAAGTGGCGAGTGCCAAGACAAGCTCGTTTCGCAAGTGGAATAATCTACTTTCGTAACATCGCACAGAGCCGTCAACGACGACTGATGGGCAGAGCTACGACTAGTCGACAAATGCACGTCTACGAATGCTATCGGGGCCAGCGTCGCTTCCGGTATGGTTGGAGAGTGTACTGACACGCGTGGTAACGCTGTGGTCAGCTGTCGGCGCCAAACAGCCGCTCTGTGTTCACAAGTCTTCTTTGAAGCCTCGACATTCATAAGTAGTCTATACGAGAAGTGGCGAGTGCCAAGACAAGCTCGTTTCGCAAGTGGAATAATCTACTTTCGTGACATCGCACAGAGTCGTCAACGACGACTGATGGGCAGAGCTACGACTCGTCGACAAATGCACGTCTACGAATGCTATCGGGGCCAGCGTCGCTTCCGGTATGGTTGGAGAGTGTACTGAGCAAAAGGCAGTCATCGTTTTCAGTCCTCGGGAGGACACAGAAAAACTTTTCGCACGCCCAAGCCTAGAGAGATGCACGCGAACATTGACAGAAAAAAAAAAGAGCTGATGGGCGCTGCTCAGGGAAACGATAGCGATGATTATTACGATGTTACACGTTTGAATCGAAAGGATCAACACTCACACGAGTTGAAGGCATTTATCCAGATGATTAGAAATACCCGGTTGAGGATGTCCTCCTGCGTGTTTTCCACCCGGTAGTAGCTGCTCGGAGTGTGGCGTTGGCACGCATGCATGTTCAAGTCAACGCATGCAATACTGTGGGCGTACATGGGGATTGTCATCGTGACGGCTCGAAGAAGATGCTAGATTGACGATGCCGAACTCGCGGACCATCCCCCGAACGCAAACACGCGGACTTGTCAGCAATTTTCACGAGGATATTCCGCGGGGCGATCTGCCTCACCCAACCAAGGCTTCAGGCGTTGCTTTCATAACCCAAGGTCATTCGCCCAACCAGCTAGGCCAACTATAGAGGAATTCATGCAATCAAGCCGGAGTCTCCATGGACATGGCACTCACACGCTGCCAAGGAAGATGGACATGAACAAGTACAGCACCAGCCTTGCCGAAGGGCAGTGTGGGAGTGTACAGCGCAGTAGAAAAGGGCATGAGGGCGGCAAGGGGGGGCGCGAGAGACGGGTGGCAAAAAGTTGAGTGCTCGAGGTTTCAACTGGGAATACTTGTCGGATGTTCCACGCGACCACGCGACAATGCATGTACGTCGCGTGCCTAGCGGCCGGCCGCCATGTGCGTCATCGGAACTGTAGCCTATACATCATCGTTCGACAAACCCTGTCAGCGATAAAGGACATCCGACTTCGGGTGCGATGCGCTCTCCCGAGAGAACCGTCGGCGAAGGTGCAAAATAGGTTTCCAACACCGCTTGCCCGTGAATCCTGAAGGGTGCCGTGCCGGCAAGACAACAAAAAAATCGATTTGTTCACACCTAAAAGTGAAAAGAGGAGCGTTAGCTTGTGGATCTAGCTTATGGACGTTTTGCTATCCAAACGAATACTTTGAAAGAGCCCTCAGAACGAATACGTGCCTCGATACGTATGCAGCGAGGCCTCTCCTGGGCTGTGGGTCGCTCGATAGATCTCCCAACAGTGAATTTTCGCGTCCATTGAGCTCATAATAACGATTCGGATCGTTCCTTTCCTATAAACCTAACTGTTTCAGTAGAATAGTGTGAGCAGAAATATCATTCCCCTTTACTCACACTCGAGAGTGACTCACTAACGCGATTGTACAGTAGCGTTGGTGTGCAGTCTTTTATGGTGTGCATCCCTAACGTATCCGCCGGGGTCGCAAAGGAACAAGGTAATACAGGATAATTTCATCAACCCAACTGACATATTTCGTCCGTTATCAAGGCACACACCTTAGAGCATAGACGGCGGGGTCCCTCAGGCTGTTCATCCAGGCCCTAACGACCAGCGCGCGGAGCTGCAGGAGAGCTGAGAGCCAGCTGGCCTTCGATCCCTCTGCCAGTGGCGGAGAGGCGGGTGCGTGAAGACGGGCATCTAGCACTTGACACGCCGGTGTCTCCTTCCATGCATCGGCCAATCGCTGCACGGCATTTGTGTCGCTGAAGTCGGAGTTAGTGATCTGGTTAGTTCGGTATGGAGTTCAATAGATGGGAGGATCGGAAACGAAGGGGAGAGGTTGGAACGATGTTGAGGTCGGGATGTAACAACGGTTCTCGCGCTGTGTGTACGACGTAACCCTGTACGTAGATATTGAGGAGGGGCGGCTTCACCGCAAGAGCCTCATGTCCCCCTTGACTGCATTGAGCACCCTGCCTGAAGATGCGACCCGATGTACTGGTAGCCTTAAAGCTCAGCGTAAAGGAAGAAGTGCCCGGTGTCAGTGGCAAGACAAGGCCGGGGCTTTACTCGGACATACTGGTGCAAGAATCGTTCGAAAGAATGGGCATTCGGCAACCTGTGCGATAGTCAATGTCACAATAGGCCATACGACGTACAGCACTAGGAGGGGCATAATCCAGGACGGTCGTCGAGAAACTCTATTGTTGGAGGTACGTTCGATGGTTCGTTTTCAGCTACCTTTTCATACTGTATTCTCCATGGTGCTTTAGAGGTACCTCGAGAAGGTAGTCTGCGGGGTTGACGAGACCCTTCGGCTCGTGCCCCAAGCGCGCGAAGTGGTCGAGGCTATCCACCGCCGGCCCGAAGTAAGCCGTCTGCCCCATCGTCAACAGAATCACCTGGCTCAGCAAGCGAGATCATCGCAAAAGCATACCCTAGTAGATTTGGAGCAGCGTTGTTGCAACGTTGTTCGTCGTGGGTAGGACAAGGACGATAGACGCGCCACGAACTAGACGGAAGGTCACACCAGCCAAGAACCTTCGATGTCGCGTGAGGCTTGTTTCTCACATTCTCTGTGGGGCAACCCAAAGGCGAATGTATACGTGTGTCCAGAATTCATAAATGAGTACCTTGTTATTTTGAGCAAGTTTCACAATATTGTGTCTGAGCCTCAAATTCTTAGCTCCCAGATTCTGAGGTAATGGCACACACTGTAGAGTTGCGAGAAACGACGTATGTGTGTTGGTGACTTTCGTTTCTCTGGGACCATGCCTAAACATTGAATCCCAGACGGGGCAAACCGGAGAGAGGGTCCATCCGTCTCAACTTCGCGAAAAACGTTCAGTCTGGTCTTTCTAGCCCCAAACACTTACAAGCTGTTGATTTTTTTTTGGCCTTTGGCGGCATTCCCAAGCCCTCCAAGACCTGCGTTGTTTTATCACCTGGTCGAAACTGTTGAAGACGCGACTGGACGGTTGGTGCACGCTGGAGATGATGATCATTCCCGTGTCTGACGCCAGGCCACTGAGCAGGTCCATGATCTCGGAGGCAGAAGCGGCATCCAGACCAGACGTCGGTTCGTCTAGAAGGGAGCGGAAGGAGCATCGGTGGTTTTGCGAGGCAGCACGACAGATGTGGTCACTCGCAATAAACCAACACCAAGTAGACAGTTATTTCGATGACACAAGGGACAGAACTCAACCCCTCTGCCGTGCGCACACCGATCGTCAGGAACAATGCGTCGACCTGCAGCAGCATGGGCAGCCTACGCGTCTTAGTGTCTCATATTGCCGTCGATACTGCCAGCCACGTGTACCGTGTACGGTAGCTCACCGAGAAAGAGTATCTTGCGCTGGAAGACGAGCTCGACGCCAATCGAAGTGCGCCGTTTCTGGCCCCCGGACGTTCCTCTAAGGAAAACGTTTCCGACCTTCGCATGTATAAGGTCGGAAAAACAAAAGACGAGGGATAGCAGGTGAGGTGAAGCGTGCTTGCCAGAACCAATGGTAGGTTCATGGCCAACATGACAACATCGTATCTCGTACAGAAGAACTTTCCAGAAATTTTAGTTGTAATGTATCACTCTTTGGACATTTCATTTGCGGCTCTTACAAATGCCCCAAGCGTCGGGCCAAAGTCGATTCAGGGCAAACTAAAAAAATTGTGTGCAGCATTGGCTTCGCTTGGGCAGAGGAAGAGAAGGTCTCGACGTGGGAGCGTAGTGATGAGTGGGACAACAGGTTTCTACATACCCCATATCTCAACTGCACATCAGAGTTAACCGTAGTTTGCGTGTTTCACGGGCGAAGGCATATTATAGGCACAATGGGTTTTCAAAGACCCAATGCGTAATGTGCCGAAGGTTGTAGGCCGGCGCCCGGAAATGATGGGGTGAAGAAAAAACAGAAAACACGGGAGAGCGGTATCGGGACAGGGAAAATTGCGCGTATTTGGCCGGCGACATCACCACCTTAGTGTGCTGGCACCCCTCGAGGCCCAATCTGGCGAGCACCTTGCCCACGCGCTTGTTGCACTCTTCTCGAGACATCATCGGGCTGTACATCTTGCACGCGAACGTCAGATTTTCCCGAACTTCGGTACAAGGCGGACCGGCCGGCGAAACAACGCGGGGAGGGCACGTATTGGTGTCTTGCCGTATGCATTGATTTTGATCATTGAAGACGAATCCTTGTCGAGACGGAGCAGATAAGAGGGCATGCGAGCGGGCGTTAGGTTGGGGGGGGGGGGNNNGCGTTAGGTTGGGGGGGGGGGGCGACGAACATCGCGAGGGGTGAGTAGAATAACGTGTCGTGCTGCCATGTCTGCTGGGTTCCTTTGTCGGTTTCGGTCATCTCGTAGCGAGCGCCCCTCCTGCAGGTGGCGCAATGTGCTCGGGGTTCGCGCGAATTTACCGCACCGCTTGGAAGGACTGTTCCCAGGCCCATTTCTGCTCAGCACGAACCTCATGAAAGACATATCGTTCCTCCTCGCCCAGCTTGAGAAACAAACTCCCATGTCAGAGTGGTTTGCACTGCTACCGGTACAAATTATGGGTTTACGGGAAAGAAGTGCCCCTGGGTAGCTTGTTTGTTGGGAGCCGTCTGAGACAAGACAAGGTCGAATTTGTGGGTGAGGGTGATTCTCAGCGCCTGCGACAGCACTCAATGGGCGGTCTTGAGGCGGTGCGCGTGCAGCATTCCGGGACAAAACTGGTTGAAAAAGTGCCATACGCGTTCTGCACAAACGGATTGATGTGTGTTTCCCCGCCATCTTAGTGCAGGTGTGATCAACTTTTGGGTTAGGGTTGATACATCCAATTGTACTGTGTTCTAGCCCAGTTCGTCACCAGTGAGGGCACTCCACAGGCGGTCTTCCTGAGGAACGTAAGCGGCGTTTTCCAAGAAGAAGGACTTGGACATAACCTTGCCGTTAACGGTTATATCGCCCGTGACGTCCAGCCCTTTCGTGCCGGCCGATATCTGTTTTCGCATGTACGCCCCCGCACGGGAGTCATTTGGTTGAGCGGTGCGGGTGGAGCTGTAACGAATGGGGGGGTTATGGGGTGAAGCCGAGACATAGAACAGGGGTAACACGGTGGAAGGGAGACAGCAGTGAGCCCTTCGGCGGTCGTTCGCACCCAGAGGAACCGCCAAAGCAAAGAGCGGGGGGGAGAGAGGTTCACGATTGGAGCCCCTGCGAGCATGGAATATAGTCCACACGGAACAGATATGGGAAAGGGCCGAGTGAAATTGGCCTGCTTCCGCACAAGCTCTTATGCGCCTGTTCCACTCGATCTCAGCACTAAAGCCCTCTCGCCCTCGCATTCTGGTGGACCATGACACATGTACCTTTCCGACCAGCACATCGAGCAGAGACGTCTTGCCCGCTCCGCTAGGGCCGATGATGGCCAAGATCTGCCCGGACTCCACCGCTCCGCTGACCCCCCTCAGGATGTGCTTCACCCCGGCCTTCCCACCCATCAGAGACGCCTTCGTCTTGGAAACCTCGACGCTATAGCGCACGTCGCGAAAACGGAAGTCCACCTGCAGGAGGGGGGCGTGGGTCAAATGAGGGTAGCCACCAAATTTTGGTTTTTGTTCTGGTTCTCTGGCTGGCGGAAATCCCACGCAGACATGCCTGAAGACACTTGCAGAGAAAGTCCTCCATAGGGGTGTAGAATGTTTTGAAACGAGTTCCCAAACTTCCGCGTGTGTGTTGGGTAAGGCAGCGGTCACTCGAGTATATAGGGTAAGTTTCCTTTAACTCCGTCCGTGACTTCGGTTTGGAATTTCAGAAATTTTTTCTTTCTGAAACGATTGACACCGATTGAGTATTGCGTTTCGCTGAGGCTGGTATGCTTCTCCCCGCGTGTGCAAGTCATCTGGGCCTGGACACCACTGGACCCCGCAGATTTATCATTGGAAAATCCTCATGCTTACAGCTGGCATACCCCGATGATTGTTCTGGAGGAACCTTTTACTCTTCCAACTCTATATTGTGACATACTCAGAAGTTGAGCATGCCTGAGTTAAACAGTCGGGTAGGCTGATGCGGTTGATGACAATGTTCATTTTTTTTTTTTTCCCTTCCGACGATTGCAGATGTACCTCAGAAAACTTTCACTTAATGTCTCATACTCTACATGAATATTAAACCAGTACAAAGTACAACATATGTAGGACTTATTTCTACTGTCACTTACATCGTAAAAATATCTCCTCTTCAATTTGAAATAAAACCAATGACAATCCTCATGGTATCCTACATGCTGCGTTCGTAAGCTTGCTAAAATACTACTGCGTTGATGTCCCCTTGTAAAAGCTGATATCCAACAAATGCTTTGATCCATGCTACATCTCTATGTTGGAAAAGCCCTTTCTTCTCCGTTCATGATAGCATCTTACCCTATTCTACGCAAATCTGTCACATCTACTCTCAAACAAGACGCCAACTTCAAACGAAAACGCGTTCTACGATGCGTCTACACTCCATCCCCATATCATTGGCGTTGACTGGTTCGAGGTCGATGTTCAATACTTCTCTGCGTCCAGAGTATGGATGATAGTGTATTTTTCTAACACTCGCAGGCTACACAAAAAGGTACACAGATCCTCAATAAACACAAACGCATGAAAATACCCTTAAACGAAGCACACCTTCCAACGGTACTACTGTTGCAAGTATATCACCGAATACCTGGAAGTACTTTTTAACCGTAATTGGGGCAATCACGAACGTTCAGAGGATAGAGTACGTTGTCCACCTTCTGCTCGCCGGGGGGGGTCCTGGATTTACCCATGGGCGCTGCCGAACCGTTGTGGCTGCCGCGTTCCAAATCTTCACCAGCTTGAGGGGCCATCATCTGATGATTTAAAAAGATGGACAAAGCAAGTGGACGCGGAGACCAGTTGTTGACGTACACTTTAGCGACGAATACGAGACACCCGGCATTCGACAAGTATGTGCACGACGCTGCCGTTTGTTTTTCGCCTCCAGCACGCGTTCGTTTCTCTTCTGCCACTCGTTTGAGCTTCGGAGCATGCGATCGACATTTGGCCCTGTCGCCCCCCTTAGTCTCCTGAGGTCAAGCGAGGTCATATTTATCGAATGCGAGCAACCGTGTCAGAAGTAATGGCTGTGAGGGCGAGAACGCGTGGTGGGTGGAAAAAATGCAAAACAAACACGGGGTAGCATACATAGCACAAAGAACAGTAACACCCAACCTGGAGGAGACAATCGAACCCGCCAAAAAGGAATAGAAAAGAGGTAAAAAGCAATAAGCAGGAAAACAAGAAACAGGAAGAAGCAGGTCCCATCAAATGAAAAGGACCGCCTTCTCGAGAAACGTTTATGATGAGGAAATAGAACTAGAAAAATAAGACCCAACTTCCCCGATCGTGTGCTTTATCCAACATGTTTACTTTTTTAATACAAATACCCTGCGAAGGCTACTGAACGAAAAATACCCTGAGAGAGGGGGTCTTGGGGTGGAGTGCATTCTTGCCGCGTTGAGGTTATATCGGTCGAGCGAATCCTCATACACGAGCCCATCAAAAATAAACACGTGGATGATGATTCAAGTTTTAAGATGGGAGCGTCGGTACAAGATAACATATCCAACACAGCAGTCCTCCATCAGTACAGTCGAGGGCCCGCTATAGTGCGAGTATGTGCCAAGCCAAAATACCCGCACTAGAGCGGGCACCCGCACTGTATGATTTCGGCCCTGAATAGTGCGGGAAGGCGCACTATTCGGGTCCTCAGAATCCTGAAGAGTGCGCCTTTTCGCACTATTCGCGAAATGACTAGGACAAAGTACTGTACGCAACAAGCGAGGGACAGGATAAGATGCGTGGCCTTTGTAGCAGCGTGTAGACCCCTGCGATTCGTTGATGAGAGTAGAACACACAACCCAGCGGTGGAACCACATCCGTCCATGGTAGAACAGATCACAGCTACACACTTGGTGCATGACATGTACATCGCGAGAGCATGTTTGTGTCCGAAGTTGTGTCTCAGCCCGTGCTGTTGCCCCAATCCACTGCTATGCGTACGTTGAATACCCTTGAATCATTCTATGTTATTCAGAGGCTAGCATTTAGACGCCATGCGCTTCATNTTCGCGAAATGACTAGGACAAAGTACTGTACGCAACAAGCGAGGGACAGGATAAGATGCGTGGCCTTTGTAGCAGCGTGTAGACCCCTGCGATTCGTTGATGAGAGTAGAACACACAACCCAGCGGTGGAACCACATCCGTCCATGGTAGAACAGATCACAGCTACACACTTGGTGCATGACATGTACATCGCGAGAGCATGTTTGTGTCCGAAGTTGTGTCTCAGCCCGTGCTGTTGCCCCAATCCACTGCTATGCGTACGTTGAATACCCTTGAATCATTCTATGTTATTCAGAGGCTAGCATTTAGACGCCATGCGCTTCATCATGTAGAAAAGGGAACACACACACGCACACACAACCGAGGAACTTGAAAAACAACTTTCTTTCAGAACCACTCAGAACTCGCGCCGATACCCACCCACAGGTGTGAAAAGCAAAGGGGGGAACACTTCAAAAACAGAGACGACACAAGCAAGGACCCAGCTTCTCAGCTCCTTTCACAAAATGTCTCGATAACATTTGTGTGGGGCTGGGTGGGGTGACACACGAAGGAAGAAAAAAGCGGCAAAAATCCGCAAAAAATTAGCCCACATTCCACACACATGTGCCGGGTTTTGAGACCACGGGCTCCCCATTTGTTGTGGACTATAGAGCTAATGTGAGAAAACAACAACAACAACAACAACAACAACAACAACAACAACAACAACACGTGGTACTGCTGTACTGCAGACACCCTCATACATTTGCTTCCAAAAAAAAGCAAAAAACACAAGAACCTATGCGGCAAAACTGCTCATTGCTCGCTGCCAAAGTACGCCCTGACATCAGCCTGGCGCGATGGTTTCGATGCATGTGCTTCGATCATCAATATCCTTGCAGATGCCGTGTAGTCTGCCGCCGCATCCTCCGCGACATTGGTGACCGTCGGGGGCGACTGGTGTATGGCCGGGTTGCAGGCAGAGTTCGCCTGCTGCACATGGCATGGTCTCTCCACCGTGTGCCTTTTTCTGTCTCTCATTTCTTGTTATTTTCGGCCTGGTCCCTTTTTGTCCTCGCTCTGTATATTTCATTTTGTCTTTCCTTGCTGTTTCCTTTTATTTTTTTCTCTTTTCCTCTTTTTCTCCCTTTTTCTGTGCCCGATGGCCTTGTTTCTGCTTGCGTTGTGACGTACCAAGATTGAACCAAGGGGGTGTACCTCATTCTCTCCGACCCGTGCTGGTGAATCCTAGTCTCAGTTGTTACCTCGCATAGCGCGCAGAGGGAGTGGAGGACTCCAGAATATCTGTCGTTGATTTCTATTGACTTGCGGACCCCTCGGGGCCATTATTTGAGTGTACCTTTTAAGGGTAAGTTAGCCTGCGACCACGGGAATCGACCGCGTCGAGTTTTGAATCGGTACGGACATACGAAGGTACTGGGTAGAGAGAGATCGGAACGGTTTTTAATGTGAAGACAACAACAACAACAACAACAACAACAACAACAACAACAACA